CCCCTAATTTTGGGAACCCCTAAACTTCATCTCTCAGCCCAGGCATCTTGAAAAAGCCCGCAGGCACCGTGAAGTTCACAGTCCGAAGCAGCCACACCAGCTTGAGCACCTCAAGTTCTTTGGCTTCCGACACAGAAGACTGCGAAAAGGGGCATTAAGAAATGTCAGCATTTCAGCACGCGTATTTGCAAAGACGCGCCGTCTGGACCTCAAACGGAGTCATTGCCACTGTTTACCTATTGATACCGTGTACATTTCTGAGGAGCAGGGCAACCCCTCCCTCCAAACATCATGAGGTCGTTGAGTGCCCAGCCCACTCCTCCGTTCCAGGTTCACCCGCAGCTAGGCCTCCGAATTCGGACATCTGATTCGACCCAGGCGCAAGGAGTGCGTTTCATAGTTTGAGGGCTGAACATCCAAGAAACCGAGGATGTATGCGAAGGTGTGATAGCTTTGTTAAGTGGTAAATTCATCTGTTGGAAGCTGATGCCTCGGAGGCCTCTCAGTATGTATCTGGCAGGAATTGCAGGTAGCCATCTGGCTAGCTAGCCTTCATACCTCTCTGCGTTGCCTTGCCAATGCCGCAAGGTATCACATTGTACTAGCTCAAATACCTCTCATAATGCAAAGTCTTTTGAACATCAAAACCGCACGCCAGGTAGTTTCATGTAATCGGATGCCTGCAGTCAATCTGCAACGCATGGAACGCAGTTGAGGCTCTGGTTGCTCACAGGCAATGACCAAGTAGGTCCACGAAAGAAAGCGGTCCGGAGTGCCAATGCTCTGCTTCAAATCATGGAAGTCCGCGAAAACAACCTTGCTTGATTAGCATAATGAGATAACAACACGAATGATATTAACAGCAATCGTGCTGGCAATGAAAAATCGTAGTAATAACAATTCAATCAGAATCTGGTCGCTCCGTCACAGCAAGTAACACAAGTCAAGCCCAAGGATTGTGAGCCATGGACGCCAAATATATTATGGGAGCTTATCAAAGCTTGAGACCCTTTCCTGCCTCAAGCTTTGCTGTAGATAGTACCCTCAAACTAGCCCGATGTCCCCGCGTGTAAGCCCTAGAAGCTTCGAAGATACTTCCTACAAGGCCCAACAGGGTTTAGGGTTTAGGGCTGCTCCCCATCATTGCAACCCTGTAACAAAACCTAAACCAAGAGCTGCATTCTTGGTTTTCATAAATGCCCGGCTGTCCTCCACTGGGTGGCACTGGGATACTGTCGGCCAGTCCGGACTTGTCAAAGATCGCTCGCGCCTGCGGGCTCAGGGCTTCCAGACACACGGGAACCCAGGTTTAGGGTTTAGGGCTTAGGGTTTAGGAGGGTTTGGAAGACATTCCCTTGACTAGTCCATCCAAAATGATTGCAGAAGCCTCATATTTATGAGACACCTAGATTCCAAATCCCATACGTCCCACATGCGGATGGGGCTTGTCTGGACGCAGTGTCCCTCAGATCCTGCGCTCCTGAACCCTGTAAACCCTAAACCCCAAGCGCAGCAGCTACTGCAGCTCCTTCTTTGGGCTCTCCTCGATCTTTCCCATCAGTTCCCAGACTGACCGCCGGCGCTGCCACCTCAACAAGTTCCTCTGATGTGCGTGTTCCGTTTCCGTCCCGGCTTCTGTACACATGTTGCAGCTACAGTACAAGTAAGGACGGGGGGGCCGCGCAGGCAATTCGAGCTTGCCCTAACATGGGCAAAGATGATAACAGACATTTGCCAATTATCGATGACGTTACCACAATGCTTCCTGCTATTTGTTTGTTGGTGTTGCTGCTGATTATGATGATTACTCTAACAATGACTGACGATGACCCTGGCAATGTTGAGCAAGGTTACAGCGCCTCCTCCTGCTTCTACCATCATGGACAAGATGATTCGATGACGGTGATGATGATGATGATGATGATGATGGCGATGCTGATGGTGATGATGAACAGCATGATCATCATCATCATCACCATCATCATGGTTGGCAGTACATGGTCGCCATTCCTACCATCCTCTGTCCTAGCATCAGGCTGGGATCCCAGCTGTTTCTGTAACCTCTCCAACTCCGCCTGGCCAGTCACGAGTTTGTCGCCTCACACACGCCCCAAGAACCACAGGGTAAGGGAGAGCATTCTTCTTACAGCATGCAGCCGCCAGAGTCATGGTCATGGTAACGAGCATGCACGTACTAGAATAAGGGGTAAATGCAGCGTCAGCAGGAAAAGAACGATGTCAGCGGCGGCCGTGCAAACGCAGCACAATTGCCCTGGTAGAAACGGCACGGGAAATTGGACAGTCATCGTCATTGCCAAATCATAAAGCTGCAGCCGTACTAGTTACCATGTTCTGGGTACGAGCAGCCCCAGCCGGTCACGTGAACAGGTGGTCAGAGTGGCAAGAGTCAAACAGAATGCAAAGTAATGATGATGACAACTATCATCATCACCAGCTTCCAATGAACCAGGCACAATCCTGACAACCCGGAAAATAGGCTCCTGGCTATCAACAGGCTGAGCATCGCTGATGAAACCCGCGATCATCTTTGTCACGACCTCGGCTCTGAACAGTTTATATGCTGGACGCGGGGTTTAGGGGGTTTAGGGGTTAGGGTTTAGGGTTTAGGGGGTTTAAGGGTTTAGGGTTTAACTACATTGACAGAGGACACTAGGAAAGACGTCCTCGGAACTCAGGCGCGGCAATCCGCTTTTGAAGACCACCGCGGATATTGTGAGGCCATGCTGCAACATGACTTCACAGCAACTCTATGGTTTGGGTCATTCCCCCACCCAGTAACTGTCCTTAAAGGGGGCCTTATTAAGGGGCTATTATAACTCCTATTACCCCTTGTGGTAACTGTTTCTGGAAGGGGGAATGACCCAATCTATGGTTCCATGCTGGAGGGAAGGCATAACAAGTCCTTTTTGCTTACTGGGGTAGCATTAAGATGTTATGGGGGTAAAAGGGGTTATATTGGGGGTTATACTGGGATAATGGAAGAATGAAATGGAAACGACTATAGTATAATAGGGTATACATTAGGGTTATATAGGGGTTATACTGGGATAATGGAAAAATGGAAACGACAATAGTATAATAGGGTATACATTAGGGTTATGTAGGGGTTATACTAGGATAATGGAAAAATGAAAACGACTATAGTATAATAGGGTATACATTAGGGTTATATAGGGGCTATACTGGGATCATGGAAAAATGCAAACTTCTATAGTATAATAGTGTATATTACTGAAGGCCCCGTAACATGAAACACCCATGGGGACACCCTAAACCCCTAAACCCCTAAACCACTAAACCCTAAACCACTAAACCCTAAACCTTAAACCCCTAAACCCCTTAACCCCTAAACCCTAAACCCTAAACCACCCATGGGGACCCTAAGGCCGCCGCCGCTGAGCAGAGTTGGGAGAGGTGTGCTGGCAGAGGGCGCTCTGATGTTGGCGGCCTCTCTCCAAGACTATATGAGCAATAGTCCACACACGGTTTAGGGATGAGGGGTTAGGGGTGAGGGGTAAAGGGTTTAGGGTGTAAACTCCTTAAAGGGCTATATGGGGGATTATATAGTGGACTATTATAGGGGTTATTAAGGGGGATACTAGGAGTATAGACTATAGCTTATATGAGCTATAGTCTACACTCTTAAGAGGGGATTGCATAGGGAGTTATATGGCGGAGTATTATAGGGGTTATTTGGGGAGATACTTGCAGTTTAGACTGTAGCTCATTTGAACCTAGCAAGGTACCACCTGGTCATAGCTTGAGGTTTTTCTAGCTAAATCTTAAGTTCGATAATGTTCATGAGGTTACAATGGTAATGCTAAACTTGATGTGGACCTACCTGATTGAAATAACAAATCTGGCCACACTGGATATAGGAAACAGTACGTGCCAAGAGTATCCCCAACTATCTCCACTTGACCACCCAAACTGAAAACATCTGCATGCTTGCATGAATACCCTCAAGCTATCACCCCTGGATCCTCCCCATGAACCCTTTGACCCATAGAGCAACGAGAGCTGACAAGTCCAACCCGCGAGCCTTTCGTTGACGAGTTGCACGGCTTTGCCGGCTATCTGCGCAGCTTTCGGGTGACAATGGCAGCTGCAAAATCAAAGACTTTCAGTTTGTACCCTTAGTGTTTGTACCCCTAAGTTTTGGGTCCCAAATACCCCTATTGGGGGCCATATTCCATGGTTTAGGGACAAAAGCCCGAAACGAAGTCATAAGAACAGCAGTGTTACAATGCGTTTTATCTAGATCTTGTTGTCAGTCAATGGCAGATGCAAACAGCATACGCATTGTTGAAGCTCTTTACTCAATTCCCACCACTTTGCATATGAGCTATAATCTAAACTCCTAGTATCCCCCTTAATAACCACTATAGTAGTCCCCTACATAACCCCCGATATAACCCCCCTTTAAGGAGTTTAGATTATTGCTCATATGCTTGCTGCAACCCTGAAGGACAACAGGACCGAGCAGGAAGCCCATAGACGTTTTCTATACTGCCTCAGGTGCTGTGCTGCATTGCAAGACAATTTGGGTTGCTATGAATAACGGCGAATCTCATGGATAAGACACGGGAAATGAAATGGAAACCACGACGTAGAGCTTAGGGTTTAGGGATGTAATCCCAATACTGGAGAGTCAACTGAAAAAGAAACCTATCCTCCTATCTAGACCTTGTGGTCAGTGATGTTTAGGGTTATATAGGGGTTATAAAGGGATAATGGAAAAGAAGATGGAAACTACAATATTATCTACAGGGTTATAGGGGACATATTAGGGGTTCATGATATGTGCCACCTTGAATCTGTAATCTGAAGCACAATTGACTCGTGCTCATAAAGACACATGCAGAAAGTCATACCTAAACTCTGACACGAAAGCAAAATGCACTTCGGTGTGCATGGACCCCATAATCGTACCCATACTTCAACTTTAGCTGCTGGTTCTCATAACTTCACACCTGCTCCAACAAGGGCGGCCGCCGCCAGTCGCCATCAAAGGAAAACCAGATTGCCTGGACCTCACAGTTCGGGCTTAGGATTCGGGACACAAATCTAGAACTAGGGTTCAAGGTGCATAGGTTCTGGAGCTTCGTTTTGAAGTATACACCGATGAAGCACGCACGGATAATGATGATTCTGGCAGGCACACTCGTAACAAGCCTCTTGCTACAGCGACTGATGACTGGAATCCCGATTAGAATCCCACCGTCCTGCCCTAATGGCACGTCTGCGAATCTAAGCAGGCTTCCAAACGCATAGCAGACACCACCAGGGCCGGGTAGCTTATACCTTCTGAATGCCACATATGACATACCGGTGTCCTGGCGATGAAACATCCCAAAACTAGTACCCTCAATAGATCAATGGATCATTCGTCCCAGACATGCAGGTGGCCCCATAGCTAAAAAATAGGATCTTTATTGGAAGGACCTTAATTGTTAAGATGGGGCTTTGAGTCTAGCTACTGGCAGAAAGGCATTTGGCAGAAAGGCATTTCAGCTGAGGCATTCTGATTTTGAAGAATGCAGCCACGCTTTTTCAGACTAAAAACTCTCGGCCGCATAGGCGGTGGGCTGGAAATGAGGGTCCTTCAGAAACGTGGGCGAAGGGCTTTTCCCTAAGCCTTGCTATCCTAGCCTTATCCAGAGACTATCCTGAAAAACTCTCCCCGGCAGTTCATGATATGGGGGTTTCCCAAAATTATGGGTACCTTGCTGGGGGTCCCCATAACAAGGACTATAGTATTTTGGGGTCTATATTGGGGTCCCCCTATTTTGGGAAACTACCATATAGATTTCTTAAAAACCTCTGCGTATAGGTCACACAACATAGCTTGTCCAACAGCATCAGGATTGGCTGAAAGAGGGCCATGATCGAGACACGTCCGAAGTGATATAGGACTGCTCTCATGTCCTGTTAAGGCTTATGAAAGAAGAGCTAATTATATTAATACTTGTAATTGTGGTGGTAGTAGTAGTAGTAGTAATCGTAGTAGTAGTAGTAGTAGCAGCAGCAGTAGTAGTAGCAGCAGTAGTAGTAGTAGTAGCAGCAGAAAGAGGAGGAGAAGGAGCAGTAGCAGCAGCTAGTGATAATACAGCACTAATGTACTACCAGAGCATTACCGTCCAAGTGGCTAAACTTGGCTGGAGAAGGTCGCAGAGCGACTCGAGCAGTAACCTTGGAAGAGGATCCCTGCGGATGCTACCAGGGAATGGGAGTTTCCTCATAAGATTTAGGGTTTAAAGTTGAGGGTGAAGGATTTAACCTTCAGGGCTTAAGGTCATATCCCTGCTATACCCTGACAAAACCCGAAAAGAAGAGATCCTCCACAACTTTTCGACAGGTAAACTACGGTCAACAGCAATGTTGGCAAAGGGCGTGGGACTTTAGTAGTTAGGGATAGATCACGGATTATACGAGCTCATCATCAGGAATCCCAGGTTCAAGTTCTTCACGGCGACCAAAACTGGACATCGGGCTAGATGTTCAGCACTCGAAATGTGCGGAATCTCTGACAACTATGAGCTGGCCGTTCCTGGTGCAAGG